TGGAAAACCGATGTGCGTGTGTACGTGAGAAAAAAGTTTGTACAGATAAGTTCATGTATTACTTCCAGGAAGGTTCATCTATTACTAAGTGTGTACACATAATTTCTCACTCCACATATGTGTGTATGATTTGTATGTCTGTTTGTGTGTGTGTTCCTCCAGATCTACTTTAGCATTGACCAAATGAACAAGGTTTCACTAGCAAGGGAAGCAACATTCACCAGCAAGTGACGCTGGCTAGATCCCTCTCTTTTTATGCCATTCACCTGTTTGTTGAAAATGCCAACAAAAGGGCTGGACATTTTTCTTCATGTATTTCTCAAAAATGGATGAGAATGGTTGCGGTATTGAGCAAGTACTTTTGTTTTTTCAATTTGTTTATTTGAAGTTCAAAGTGAATTGTTAAAGAAGGTTGACTCTATATGGACATCAAGTTGTTGTTTTATGCTTCTGTTTTAAAAATCAAAAAATATTTAATTAAAAATAAAAATGTGAAGTTCAACTAAAAATAACACAGAAGTTCAAAGTATATTAAAACCTAGGATTTACAAGTTCAAAAAACAAAAAACAACAACATCTTTTTGGCGTTTTAAAAAAACCTAAAGTTTTCTTCTTACTAAAGAATAAAACTAAGAAGTTCAAACTAAAATAACGGAGCAACTCGATGTATACAAAACCTCATATTCTTCTTGTTTCTAGAACAAAAATTAAATGCAAAAAAGTTATTCGACACTTTCTTAGAAAAGTCAATTTTTTTCTTCTATAAAAATGGAACTACAAAGTTCAAATTAAAATAGCAGAGAAGTACTGAGTTTATAAAAATAGCAGCACGTGAAAAACGGAGTGAAGTTCAAATAGAACTGCTCTAGAAGTTCAACCTCTTCATGTAGTGCATCTTCGAATACTTTGTTTTTGCGATGAAGACAGAATGCATGATCTCAGAAGTTCAGATTGATAACTGTGAGAAGTTCACGTACTACACGGTGTGCATTCTGTATTAAAAAAGAATGAAAAAGGAAATGCTAAAAGTTTTGTTGTTATAAGTTCAAGTCTTCCATCGGATAAATTTGAAAAAATTATTGTGAGAGAGGTTTGTACAAAAGGAATATCATTTGTATAACAGGGACGAAATGAAATGGGAAAATTACAAACAAAAATACGTCATAGAAGTTCAACGTGAAAACAGCAGGAAGTTCGACTACTATAGTGAATGAATTTGAGATGAAAAACTTTTAAAATCGTCGCGAGTATGAAAAAACGATCAACACGGGAAAGTTGCGTGTTTACATCAGCTTTCCACCGGTATATTACTTGCTCAATTCAGGTGAGTGTTTCGGCAAGTGGATGGAGTGCTACGGGCAAAAAATCACGTGAAAAACAGAGTGAATTTCAGGTAAACGCACCGAGAAGTTCAGGTTCTTCACGCGGGTTCGAAGAATTCGTTTCACGATAAAGGCAGAACGCATGATCTCGCTGTTTTTGAAATTACTTTAAAACGACTAGGAATCAGAGAAAACCATCAACATGAAAAAGTTTCACATTTTCCGTAGCTTTTCAGCGGTATATTATTTGCCCCATTCCGATAAAGTTTGTAGAAATTACGGCAAAATACGTTTTTAACCATTTTCAAAACTGACATAAAACCGTAATGAATTAGGAGAAACAATATATACAAAAAAGTTTCGCATTTCTTCAAGCTTTCCAACGCCATATCATTTGCTGCATTTGGACGTACTATTAAAAAATTATCTTGAAAATACGAACTCGGTGGAACTTGTAGCGTTTTCTAAATTACTTTTAAACCATTCAAAATTAGAAAAAACTTTTAACATAAAAAAGTAGCGCATTTTCATAATCTTTCCAACGCCATATTATTTGCCTCAATTGGATTAGCCGTTTAGAAATGGCGTCGAAAATACGAACTCGGGTGTTAGGTTTGCGAAATTTTACGATTTTCTGAATTACTCTTTAACCGTAGGGAATTAGAGAAAACTTTCAACATGTGGAAGGAGCGGTTTTGCAGCAACTTTCCAACGCCATATTATTTGCCTCATTCCGATAAACGGTTTAAAAATGCGATCGAAAATACGATTCACGTTTTTTATATGAAGAAAAAACGGTTTTCAAAACTGCTCTTAAACCGCTTACATTTTGCCAAAAATTTAACTTGGGTCATGATACTGATGTCCATAGCTATCCAACGGTATATAGCAAACCCTATTTGGACACCTTTTAGCTGAAGTTCAACCTAGCACACGAGGAAGGTCAGGCGCGTTACTCGGGAAGTTCATGTTGTGATCAGAATATTATTCTGATCCCGTGATCAGAATAGTGTTTATATATATTACAGTGATTGGCGATTTTAGGGACCGTCCATTCACTCCGATCAAACGGTGGAGAAATAGGAGTTATGAGGAGTTACGGGAGTAAAATTACATGAAATTACAAATAATTGTGGGACCATTACAAGATTATGGTGGGGCTAATCAATTTTTAAAAGGGTAGATCCGTCCAATTTAGGATGCAGCGCTGGGACAAAAGAAAAAGAAAACCTGCAAAAAAGAAACGCTTCGTCCCCAATCTGTCGATCGCATCTCCGCTTGCTTCCTCTCACGGGTCACTCCGCCGCCGGCTCAGCCGCTTTTGCTGCGCCTTCTCCTCCCCGCTCCCCAGATCGGCGTCCAGCAGAAGAGGATCTCGGTGGTCGTGGTGGCGGCATCTTCATTGGCCTCGCCGGATTGTTAGCCACCTCAATCCCCTCGCACAGGCGCCGCCGCCAAGCCTGCCCTCAACCGTGGAGCTGCTGGCGTCCCTCCTATCGCTCGTGCCGCCACAGCCGTCGACCCTCGCACAGCCGCAGCCGCCTGCTCTCCTCTGCTGCCCTAGCGCCCCGAGCATCGCCCCGTCAAATAGGCGCTCCGCAAGGCAGTGCCTTCTCCCTGGAGCAGCCACTGACGGCCATCAATGTCGGCGACCCAATCCATATGAAGGTAACCCCGGGGCTTAATCTTCCGCCACCGCCGCCGCCGAGGATGGCCCTGTTTTTTCATGCACATCCTCTGACCCATTATCCTGCACAGTCGTCCGCCGCCACCGAGGACGGAGAAGGTCCGGTGTCTAGAACCGTCGCTGCTTATCCTGCCAAGCTTCCCGCGCAGGACGAGTATCCCTCCAGCCCCCTGCGCCGCCATCTGCCTCTGATGATTCCGCACGCGTGTAGGCGACAGTGGAACAAATTCAGACATTCAAGGATATCTGTCCGTCAGAATATTCAGGTTTGGTACTCCTGTATTTCACCCCATTATTCCTTTGTTCTCTCTTTTGCATTGCATGTGGACAGTAAACCACATAGTCGGCCATCACTGAATGTCTGAATTTGTTCCATTCAGACATTCAAAGTCACATTCCGCGTGTAGGTGTCAGAGACGTCGTTCTCACGCAACAGTCACCTACACCTATGTTTGAATCGGCTTAAGGATGCCGCGAACGACATCTCCGACATGCTTGAATATTTTTGAAGATGAAACCGACTTCAACCTGGTATGCAAGATTATGTCGAGTTGGTAACTATCAATCTTGATCTCAATGCTCTTGTTTACTAACATATGAATATTTTAGATAATGAACTACATCTTAAACTTTTTTATGTAATGAAGTAGATCCGAACCTCACTGTTGGAGTTGATCTTTGAGTCGATGTTAAGTAAAAGCTACTTCTACTTGTTGATGCCAAGACCACCTTTAGGTTCGTAAATGTCCCTGCCTTCTTTTGTTTGACCAATAGTAAGCTATGTCCACAAATATCATGATTTGATTGAGGGGAAAGTGAAGTAAAACTTGTCTGGTATCCAAGTGTAATATTAGTTTCTGGATTGTTTTTCTCAACCACCTGATTGAAACTAGTTTGTAATGCCATCTCCGCCCCTTTCAAGCCTTCCATGGTACTGATACACCACATTGTACCTCTTGCAGTGGGCAGCCACGATGAAGAATATTAAGATGACACATAAAATGAGATCGATGCAAAAGCGCCTACAAAAGATGGACCGTGATAGTTATGGTGTTCAGCCAGAAACTCGCTGCGAGGAGCGGCAAGTTCCTGACATCCGGGAAACAACAGGATATGTGGAAGAGGCAGAAATCATCTGGAGGACTGATGACGAAAGGAAAATCTTGGATTGCATATCTGGGAGCAATAGTTATTCCCCCCTGCTTTCCATTACAGTGATTGGAGTCAGTAGGTAGTGATTAGAGTCAGTAGGTAATACAGAACATGGTAAATTTTATTGGAATATAACTTGCAAGTTGATGGGTTCAGAACCTTTGTGCTGTGAAAAAGAGTTATGTTCTTCTGATTATGCCAATGGACTATGGCCATTTTCTTTATATTTAGGCAGTGCATGGCGTCGTATAGAATGGACAGTAATTATGTGTAGTATTTCTTCGAAAACCAGAATTGGCTCAATTTGGAAGAATGGCTGCTTTATGTCAATTTCTTGCCTGCTTGGCACGCGTTGCTACAAGTGCATTATCATGCCTCAGCCATAATCATTGTCGACAAATATGGAACAGAAGAAGTATGGCCCCTATTTTAGTCCTCTCTGTCATGTTCGCGTGCACAACCTATTTTGCCAATGAGCAAGTTTAGCATATGTTTCTTCTTCGATGATCTTATGCTAGTTGCCTAGTTCTCATTGTTGTCCTAGGTGTCTAGTTAGTAAGCAAAACTCTGTTTGAGTAAAGCTCGCTGGGACATCTGTTTCAGTATTGTTACCCAAAAGACTTAGGCCTAGATTTATTAGTTATAAATTTGTTAGCTCCATGTATCGCATTAGTTTTGATGCAAAACACAAGCTGCAATGTACCAACTCTTGTCAACATGTCTATATCAGTATAAAAATGGTACATGGTGTTCCTGATGCTATTCTTTCTTATTTTCTGCAGGAGAGGCTGGCATTTGACAATACGGTTCTGTGTGTGCATTGACTACTGGACAAGAATATGCAGCGAGAGCAAGAGGTGATGGACAAGAATCTGAAGCAGGAGCGGGCAACCGTGAACCGCATGAGGAAGGAGGAGTGTGCAGCCGTGAAACAGATGATGAATGAGGAGCGTGCAGCCATGGATCAGAGGTTGAAGCATTTCCATGACGATATGGACCTAAAGTTGAAGAAGGAGCGCAAGGACCTGGATCACGCTATGCAACTCGAGCGTGGCAGCATGGAATTCAATATCATGCAGGCGCGTGCGAACATGGACCGTATGTTGCAGCAGGAGCGTAATGACATGAATCACAAGGCCAAGATGGAGGGGATCCGCATGGAAGGGAATATGATGCAAGACCGCGTTCTACATCTCGAGCGTGGTAAGATGGGCTTCAATAACATGCAGACGCGTGCGGGCATGGACCTTAACTTATCAGAGGACCGCAATGATCTGGATTACAAGACCAAGATGGAGCAGATCTGCATGGAAGGAATGGTACAGATGTCAGGCCAGCATGACGTCGATGAAATGTTGCACGCTTTAGAAGGGATAAAGAAATGTCATTTGTACATTGTGAAGAATTGTGCATTCTTAGACAAAAGCGATGATGACATGTCTGAACAGGTTGGTTATATTGCCAAGTTCCTATTTATTATACAAAAAATGGCCACATCATTTGCATAAATAACTTTCGCATGCATTTTGGCAGGACATGTCCGAAGAAGACATATATGCATGTGGGTACATGGATATCGGCGAGAGGGACTTGGGCGAATATGTGTCATCACCCAAAAGGAAGAAACTTGCAGATAACAATCCGAAGAAGGCATTGGATTTCGGCAGCAGTGACGAGCCTCTTCAGTAGGCTTTTGGTTTTTCTACAATTTCAAGCTTTAGAGCTAAACTATTGTCCCAAGTAGTTTTTACATTATTTTTGAACCAACAATCACTTCATTGAAGTGACAATTGTGAGACTATGTTTACAATAATAGGCTTTCAACACTTTGAGTTGTTGCTCATTTTTTAGATGAAAGGTTCCTTTGATGTCCGCACACTTAATTGTGGCTTTTACTATTTTTGTATTGCATGTGTTGCACTAGTCCAAACCAATTTTATGTTCATAACGTAAATTAAACGACCAATTTTACTAAGAATGTCACTACACATTTCATGAGACAGGCAAAGAGTATTAGCTTAAAATTTTGGTGCAATTTGTAAAGTAACCCTAGTTCTCAATCTGCAAAGCAAAAAAAAAAAGATTGCGGTAATCATCACCACACGCGCAGATCAGCCTACCGCATCGCGCTTCTCGCGACCCGAGACATACAGGCGCGCTCTATCTGTCACTCAAGCGCCGCTAAACCACATGCCCATACATCCAGCTCATGTGTCTGCCATATTGCATGCGCCTCAGCACTTAACGCCAAAACCCAGACATCAAGCTGAGCCGTGTCTGCCCTGCAGCGCTGCTGTTTTTCTTCTTCTTTTTTCTCTCTCCTTGTACGCTGGTCTTGTCTATGCAGCACATCATCATACATGCCTCACTTTTCCTACTAGCACAACGCTAGCTTCCGTGTCACACGTGTCACCAATATTTTTCCCTTTTCTCTGTCAGCTCTAATTTTGTGTGGATACATAGTCTGCTAGTAACCGGCTTGATAAAAACAAAAAAAACAGAAAAAACATAAAAAGAGAACAAAAAAAGAGCAAAAAAAGAGAAAAAAAGAAGAAAAAAGAAAACAAGTTGGGAAAAAAAGTCAATCCGGCTCGCATCAATTTTGGGACTGCTTTGTTCTGTTTGACATTCAGGACATTATATTTTAGCTGCTCTGTGATCACCTCTCCATCTATCATAAATATTACCTAACCTTCTTTGATTTGTTGTAAAAGAACTCTGAATCTATAGGAGGGGGCTAATAGCTGGCCACGACAGACTAAAGCAGAGAACCTAGAGGAGTGGGATAATAGCGGCACACAAACAGACACACACATGCATGTGTTCAATTACAACAACCGGAGAAATGACTACATACTCATGAAAGCCAATAACTCATCGAACATCATCTTCAACCTCCCACATGTCTTCAACGTATGATGTTTTTACTACATGATCAGCTGCCATTAAATCTACGATGTTTTTTTGTACAGACAAGCACACCATGCCTTGCTACCATTAGTCTTCTCTGCCTTGCTTGAGAATCTAGAACCATAGACTTTTTTCTCTGCCTGCTTGATCTTCTTAGTGCGTTTGATCTTCTTAGCAGACTTAGCATGTAGCTGCTTGCCACTTCGAGTCACCTGAAGAATATGGAGAAATATTTACAAAAATTTAAGAAATTGCATAGCGTCGGCAGAAAGTGTGATGTCGCAATTACAACACCGGATCTCAACTACATATTGCAATCTCATTTTCAGAAAGAAGTATCATCATATACTGCAGAAATTTTATAATTCTGTGAACATATACTGTACATCTCAAAACAGTGGTCTGTTTCAAGTTATTAATAAGTAACATGCAGAGAGTTTCATTCTTTGCTCGGCCAACCAACAATTATTTTTATATTAGAAATATATGGAAGCCAACCTAATAATACTTTTAAAAGACAAATATGATACATGAATTGACAACTAACACTGATGTTATTCAAGCACGGTCATACTTGCAATAATTAATACTTCATAACAGGACCACAAGCGCAAAAGTTTCCTACCACGAAATCCCTTGTATAGAGAGTTGTACCTAACAGTTTGCTGCCATCAGCCCATCACTTCCTACACAGCAAAAAATATAATTAGTGCACTATATTAATGAGTAAAGCAGACGCAAAATAAAAAATAGACATATTTGACACCTCTTCCAATTTAGTGCATATACGCCGATCATGACCTTCCACCCCACAGTAGCCACATTTCCTCTTTGATCTTTGCTTCTTCATCTTTGCCTGCAACCTTTTCTTCGGTGCACCTCGGCCTTGCACATGCACTGGGTCTAGAACCTTTTCCAAATATGCACAATCAATTTCCGTCATTTGTGGCAGCAGCGGACCAAACCTAATGCATTCCTCCTGACCACGGCTTGATTCCTTGCTCCCATCTTGTGCATTCAGAACCGTCTTCAGACGCTGATACTCCTCACTGGATTGACATGCTCGGAAACATGCCGCGTGACTCAAATTCCGCAACTCATGGTACCTCACAAGGCTTTCTGAATAGTCATACATCTCGCTCTTTCTGGTCGGAGGGAATGCTGACTTCGCACTCATCGTCCACCTCATGGGAACACAACACCTAGGCAGCAGTTCCACTTGACGTATTCCCAAGATGTAGAATATGTGAGAGCATGGTGTTCCCAAGCATTCCAGCTTACGACAAGAGCAACTGATCCTGTACAAAGAACCTTCCTTCACCTCACAGCGCACTTCGAACTTCTTCCCTCTTCTATCGATCTTAGTGACAACATATGTAGTCAACTCCCATGCGTCTAGTATCTCGCTGATAACACATTTGCTGACGGCATTTATGCTCCATCTGACCATCTCAAACATATAAGGCGTGAAAACCCGGGCAGCATGTTTCTCAAGACTTGAAGCATCCGCGTCTATAAATGGAACGGACTGTAAGGCCACGATGTCTAGGATCGCCTCGTTCAAGCGTCGTCCCGAAAGGCAACGCTCATAGTGCTGTAGCATATCAAACAATGTCATCTTACCCTCAAGATGTGTATGTAGCACCGAGTTGAGGCTCTCACTACGCTGATTGCTGCTCAATCCTAAGAAACAGCGCCCCACCAGGTATGGAGCACACCACAGCTTCCTCATCTGATACATCTGATGGAGCCACGACTCCTCACTTGTAACTTCATTCCTTCGTAAGAACTCTATCCATTTTCTCTCGTGCTCTTCAATAGAAGACGAGTCATATATGAAAGATCTGAATTCTTCCCTAACCTCATCGTCATGTAGATGGCGTACAATGTTCTGCTGAATGTGCCATACACATAGCCTGTGGTATGAGTCAGGCTACACCACCCTGATCGCTCTCTGCATTGCAAGGTCCCCATCGGTGATTACAGATATCAGATGCTTCTGCGACATGGCTTCAGAAAATTTCCGCAACATCCACTCGTACGCCTCGTTAGTTTCATGAGAAATGATCCCGCATCCAAAGATAACAGTGCTGCGGTGGTGATTCAACCAGACAAACGGCACAAACGGCAGATTGTACTTATTGGTCCTGTATGTGCTATCAAAAACCACAACATCACCGAAACCCTCGTAGTCAAGGCGGGATTGAGTATCGGACTAGAACAATCCCTTCAGATGCCCATCTTTATCAACCAATTATTTGAAGAAATAATCTGGGTCTCTCTCTTGCCGCGCCATCATGTGACGGATCACCGTCTGAGCATCACCGGCAGCGACTGTTTCCTGCTTGTAGCGATGACAGAAGTTATAGATGTCCCTCGTCATGCATCCAACATGGTCATATCCACCGTACTACATGCACAACACATCCATGATTTTGTGTTTCCGGATTCCAACACTTTCCATCTCTATAATGTCCGTTTTCTGCTCGTTGCTGATTCTTCTGTGGGAACGCAAAAAGCAAGCAAGGTCTTGTGGGGCCGGAGGATGGTTGTGTTCATCGATGAAATCTTTCACAAACCACCGCCCTGTTTTCGCGACTCTTGCAATGACAAATTTCGCTTTACACCCCACACGAGTGATATTCCGTGGCTTCCTCTTCCTATCTTCTCTCTTCCTCTTCATGTGCTTCTCTTCACGGCAACCTTCACGACTACAGACAAGTTTCCTTAGAATTATCTTCTCGTTCGCTTCATCCCACTCAACATATCCTTTTCTCACACTAAAGCCTTTCTCAAGAGCATACTTGTTATAGAACTCAAAACCCTCTTCCTCGCTATCAAACATCTTGCTGACAATGTCGTCGTACTCAGCCATACACTCTGCACTTACATCGGCCATGTCTTCCTGCATATCACATACAAATTAACAACTGTCTCAATCATGCACCACAAGTAAAAGAATTTCCCTACTCACATATTCCTCTCAACATAAAAGATTCAGAGTTTTAGGAGTTCCATCATGGCTTATTTTTCTTCAGGTTAGTCTATGTTTTGTTCTCTTGTTCTAAAGATAAGGACTTAAACTAAGTGATACTCTTGGTGCTTAAATATAATGGATATTGCAACAAAGAAGTTCAATTCAATGTTGTTGCTACTGCAGTGCTTTTACAACTCTATGCACCATTTATACGGTAGTGCATGAGTAGTATTTAAAATCTGGGCATTGCTTTTCATGGCAACCAATCATAACACAATAGTTGACATGATATAACAGCTCATAATTGTCGATGGTTGGTCATGTTCTAAGAGAACTATTTGGCTGCAACATATCTTCAGAAGTGAATTAATAATATGGTGTACAATTAAGCTAATTATTCTAGTCAACTAGTCACATAATCTTTTTACCATCAGAATCAATGATAAGACACATTCAGTGCGGTTGGAACATGTTTACGATAAATTACCTTTAAAACAAGCTCAAAGTATCCAATATCAGAATCCAGTGTAGTCGGAGTATAAGGCTTGACTACTTCCTCACCAGTAGCATCCTTCCCTCTGCAGTCGGTTAACAAAATACAGAAAACAGAATCAGAATATCTGTCTCACTCCATGTACCAAAAAGAATGACCATAACTCAACATCATAACTGTTGACCAGGATATGAGCAATACAAGTGTTCAGACCTGCATCTTATATATTGGCCAATTGCATGGCCCAACACAGAAGTAGGTCTAGGGAAACAAATTTGAACTTGGCCACATTATGACTGATCTGACTCT